GCCCACACCACAAAACGCGCAAGGCTGCGCAAGCAAAAAACGTATCGTTTTTTGTGAGAGTCCCCTATCGTTTTAAAGCAGGTTTCATGTAACAGCCAACATCCGATGCACACTCCAGCACATAATTAATCAGCGCAAATTTTGGCGGAATCTCATATATAGGCTTTCGAAACTGCTGCATGGCACGTTTTAACCCATCTTTGAAAGCCTTAAAACCCTTAAAACCCTCAAAACCCTTAAAACCCTAAAACCCTCCGCTGCAGCTTCCGAAGGCTCCTCAACCGAGGCCGTGGCCCTCCTGTGCAAGCACCACCAAAACAAGCCCAAGCGGCGACGTTGGCCCTGCTGCTAAAACAAGCCTCCCCCTGGCCGCAGTACGCAGTACGCCGCCAAAACAAGCGCGAGCGGCGACTTAAGCCGTGCAAACTGCTTCTATTCTGGTTTTCGAAACTGTTGCGTGGCTGCCCTGGCCGCGGTATGCTGCCAAAACCAGCCCGAGCGGCGACGTACGCCCTGCAAACTGCTTCTATATAGGCTTTCGAAACTGCTGCGTAGCATACGTTTTGGCCACGCCTTAAAAGCCTTAAAAGCGTCAGAACCCTCAAAACCCTTAAAACCCTAAAACCATCCGCTGCACCTTCCTGCAAACTCCTTCTATGACCTTTCGAAACTGCTGCGCAGGCTCCCGAGCGGCGACGTAGGCACCACGGTCGAAATTCATTGTTTACGTCAAATGTGTCATCAAGCTAGTGAGCCCGCTATCGTTTTACAGGGCTTCCTGCTTTACATGTTTTGACACATTTTTACATCTGTTTACGCATAGTTTTGAAGCGCGTCCACTTGGATCCTTATCCCTGGCGATTTTTGTTTGCATATGTTGGAGTACACTTGTGCTTTTGCCCATGCCTGTCTCCACGTGGTCCTCCTTCCCGCTGCTTGGGCGGTCTCTCCAATGCTGCGACATTGGCTGTGGCCTCACCTGTGAAATCTGTGAAAGCTTTCCAAGCCTCGCCCTGGTCGCAGTACGCCACCAGAACAAGCGCGAGCGGCGACTTAAGCCATGCAAACTGCTTCTATTTCGGCTTTCGATACTGTTGCGTGGCTGCCCTGGGCGCGGTTTCCTGCCAAAACCAGACCGAGCGGCGACGTAGGCCTTGCAAACTGCTTCTTTATAGGCGTTCGAAACTGCTGCGTGGCACGTTTTTGCGACGCTTTGAAAGCCTTAAAAGCCTTAAAACCCTTAAACTAAAACCCTCAAAACCATTCAAACCCTAAAACCATCCGCCGCACCTTCCTGCAAACTCCTTCTATAGAGGCTTTCGAAACTGCTGCGTGACACGTTTTAGCCCCGCCTTAAAAGCCTTAAAGCCCTCAAAACCCTTACAACCCTAAAACCCTCCGCTGCAACTTCCGAAGGCTCCTCAACCAAGGCTGTGGCCCTCCTGGGCAAGCACCGCCAAAACAAGCCCGAGCAGGGACGTTGGCCCTGCTGCCAAAACAAGCCTCGCCCTGGCCGCAGTAGGCCGCCAAAGCAAGTGTGAGCGGTTACGTAAGCCGTGCAAACTGCTTCTATTTCGGCTTTCGAAACTGTTGCAGGGCTGCCCTGGCCAAGTATGCTGCCAAAACCAGCCCGAGCGGCCACGTTGGCTCTGCTCACTGCTTCACCACAGTTTCATTGGCCAAAATGGCAGGGAAAGCAAAGCGTGGCATACGCCTGCTGAACATCTCTGAGCTAATCTGAGACTGCGGTGCGGTCACCACCAAAGTCAGGATTTCCCTATGTCACCACGGCTCCATCGGACACAACCGCAGCAAAAACAAGGTGTGTTGCATGAACCCGCACACAGCAATTCCCCTGCCCTGTGACAAAAAAAGGGGGGTCGGCGGCACCAGGGCGTTAGCCCATTCCGGCAATGCCTCGCCGTTTCGTGGTGTTGCTAAGCGCATAGCTTTAGCTACCCGGGGGCGCGCTGGTGCCGCCGACCTTTTTGAAAATCCTTCAGGGTGCTGGGGTTTTCACGTTTTTGGGGGTTCGGGGTGGGAAAAAAGAGGGTAAATTCGAAGATGCGTTTTGGAGGTCCTTGTTGGGCGGTTTTTGGTCGCTTTTTGGTGGATGTTTTCATGTTTTTTTGGTGCTGTCCACGCGTAAAAATCGTGTAATTTACAATGTTTTTGTGCCTTTGGCATCCAAAAAAAGCTTGTGACAACATGCTGGAAACTGCGTAAATACCAGTGTTTTTGCTAGGCCCGGGCCACAAAACACCGTGATTTTTGCTAGCAGAGGCTCAAAACCTCGTAAATACCATGGTTTTGCGCTGACGCGGAGCCAAAAACATCGGTATTTACGGTGTTTTGTGTTCCGAGAACGTGAAAAATCGCGAAAACACCGCCTATTTGACGCTTTTTGGGGGTTTGCAAGAACCGCCTATTTGACGATTTTCGGGTGTTTGCAAAAAGTACCCAACTACAAAGATAACAGCGACAGCGACAACAGGACCAAGCAGCAACAGCAACAACAACAATAACAACAACGCCGACGACGCCGACGACGAAGACGACGACAACAACGACAACGACGACAACGACGACAACGACTGCAATGACGACAACAAGGACAACGACAACGACAACACGAACAAGAACAACAACAAGAACGACAACGACAACACGAGCAAGTTCAGATGAAATCCCCCTCTCTCTTTCCCTCCCCCGACCCCTCCAGGCATCGCCGGTGTGCGAAGCGCTACAATTATAATGCAATATACATTTTTGTGACTCTTCCGTTATGACATGTTATGACTGTGTATTGTTTATGTTTGAGTAGGGAGCAGTGGTAAACCCTTGATGCCTTTCGTGTTTGCTCCTGTATCTCCTGGTTGCTGGCGAACGGCCGGACGAGCGCAAGCTCCGCAAGCTCATGTGCAAATGCCTCAGCGAACATGACGAAACAGGAAACTGTTTTCTTTTGCAGAAACCTCTTGGCTTATGAAATTTCGAGCTTTCCTATTTCGGAGCCTCTACTGAAATCCAAAGTTTTTGTTTCTGCTTCAGGAATTTCACAGCATGTCCATCTGTGTCACAATATGGTAAGACAAACAGAAAAGTAAGAATGTTGAGTTCGTGACCTTGTGGTCAAATGATAATTCTAAATATAAAATATATCAGATATGATCAAGACATATCAATACACTTCAATGCATTCTCGCATTCCACAACGAGGGATGAACCTGGAGCAGCAATGTGAGCCGCACGCTCCACATGTTCTGGTAGCGCCTGCAGCAAAGCCTTGTCCTGCAAAAGTGACAGACCAGAGCCTGCAAGACCTGACAGAACTGTGAAAATGTCATGACCGATGAATTTGCCCACACTTTATCAAGGTCTTTACACTTTTGAGGCTCTGTCTCCTTCGGAAATCCGGTTCATGTCAACGCATGGCAGTACCGGATGAGCATTTCTGCGCAACTTGAGTACATGTGTGCAGCCGTCAAACGGCTGGTAGTGGTGTTGTAGTAGTTGTAGTTGTAGTTGTAGTTGTAGCTGTAGCTGTAGCTGCTGTTGTTGTTGTTGTTGTTGTTGTTCTTTTATGCTCTTTTATAGGTCTAACGTGGTCTAACATGGTCTAACTAGAATTGACTGGATAATCGATGGGGTGCTGGTGAATCCTTTGTCAAGTCTAATGTCAATTCCTGTGCGCACTATTTGACTTGCTCCTGTGGTGTCTTCTCTTCTTCGTGGATTTCATCCTTGATCCAGCCCAGCAACAATTCGCCAGCTTGCGAATCATAATTCGATCTAGACCGACCCATGCCTGGCCATACCTGGACATACGTGGACATACCTGGACATCCTGGACATACTTTTACCATCCTATACCTGCATTAGAGGCAAATTAAATTTCAACTGCTCTCTTGGTTCAGTCAGGCGCTTGAGAAGCATTCAACCCCAGTCGCACAAAGTCGCATAACCAATATACTCAATATACAAAGTCGACTTTCAACACTGCCACTCTTGACCAGTGAAATTCGAACGTCTGCGTGTCGCGCTGATTTTCATGCTGGCAGTGAAGCAATGGGTGCACCCAAATCAGCCCTACCTGAGGACTGGAGGTGACTGGAGGTCTGAGTTGGTTTGAGGACGCTTTGGGAGTTCCGCATGTTCCAGACTCCAGCAAATGTTGGGCTAGACTTGAATCCAAGTCAATCCTTCTCCTAGTCCTTAGCCAATCTACTTGTATGCCTAGGCTTAAGTTGCTTTAGCCTCATTCCTGCACAAGACTGGAAGCCAGTTATTGGAGGCCTGTCCACTGTCCAGCCTTGCTTTTCCGGAGGTGATGCTGGCCACATAATTTTGGCATACCTCCACGATGGTAGCTTGGCATTTTTCAATCTCGGTTGACTTTTGAGCATGGAGTGGCTTCAAAGATGAGAAGACTGCGTGTCGCCAAAGCTTCTCAGCACCAAAATTGGAGGAAATAGGACTGTCACCCACCCTTTCAAAAAAGTGGGCAACACATATCAACTTAGCGTCCCCATTCTGTGGACTGTGCAGTAGTTGACTGGGTGTGAATGGTGTGACTCACTCTCTTGTTTCGGACTTGTCATGGAGGCAAAAACCAGGGAAGAAGCATACTGATCCACGCTCTGTCCAAGAAGTGTGCACCTCGTGAACGTCCCAGCGATAGTCAGGCAAGACTGCCTGAAGAATACAGGTCAATTGAAGTGTCAAAAGTCTTGGTCAGTATATGCCGCGCGCTTTTGCCTGCAAAAAGAGTGGAAAGAAAATGTGCAGCCAGGCCAGAATGTTACCTCCCATTTAATTACATGGGATGAAGAAAGAAGTTGGTATACTGTCAGTGGCCGTTCAAGCAAAGAAGGGTGCCAATCAAACAATACAAATCACCAGAACATCTTGTAATTCTCCAGTGATACAACCTTGAAAACACTTGCAAAGCCGAATCCCCAGTGGGCAATGTATGCAATATATTGCACAATGCCTGATATTTGCTGTGATCATCTTAATTGCTTGAGCTCCGTCACTGGCTTCATAGATATGTTGATGTGACCCGCAGCACAAAGCCAGTTGCTGTCCTGAAAGCGGTAGATATAGTAGAAGACCCAGCTGAAGCTGACGAAGACAAGCAAGAAGGCAGACAAGAACACACCTCAGAATCGTCAGAATATGGCTTCTGAGTGCGTGATGTCAACAGGTTTCCTTTCTTGCATTCAATCACCCAGTTGGGCTAGTGGAACTATTCGCAATCAATCTTACCCTATCTTACCCTTGCATGACACACGCAATCACAACCAGTGGCACACCATGGCACCCCTATAGTTTGCCAAGCTTCGATAATTGGCTGGTTCCTTCTTCTGCCAAGGTTGGATCAGCGTGTTCTGTGTTGCCCGCTTGTTGCCTGATTGAGCAACTCTTAAGTCCAAAATGACAGAGTTGCAATATGATGGTCTACATGTTGCACGGTTGGCAAACGCTTAAAGGGTTGGACAAAAACAAAACAACACAAAACATATATATATATATATTATATATATTATATATATATTATATATATTATATATATATTATATATATATATTATATATATATATATTATATTTGTTCAGAAAAACAGGTGCCGTTTTTAGATGGCCATTGACATAGGATGCTGTCTTCACCATGTTCGTTTGGTCGGCATGGACTTAAATTTACCGCCAAGATTCGATCAGGAACCACGCCTGTGCGCCACGAAAGACTTTGATTCTCGTCACTTCACAAGCCAAACATAGTGAGGCCCGAAACTGTTTCAGAGACTTTTTGTCTGACATTTTACCTGCTAGGTTCAGAATCAGAATACTTCAAGCAATGCACATCACAATATCGATTGAATTTAGTCAACCGATGGATCTCTGGGAGGCACTGGGGCAGCCAGCCAGCCCTCAAGAGCAGCCTCAACCTAATCTCAACATGAGATAGACTCATAGACAAAGTGCTCTGAAACTATCTTGGGAGAAAAATGCGCAATTTTTGGAAGCAAACACTCTGCGCTAATCGTGGGATAAGCAAATGCCTGGATTTTGCCAGGAACGGCAACCACGACGGGCAATGAAGCATCGTCATCGTCGTCATCATCATCATCATCTTCTTCTTCATTTTCATCGTCATCGTCATCGTCATTGTCATCGTCATCGTCATCGTCATCATCATCATCATCATCATCATCTCAATCTTTCCGGTTGAATATAAAGTTTAACGGAGGTGGGAATTTAGATTCCTAATGCCCTTGATGATCTTCCCAACTGAATGTAAAGTTTAATGGGGACGGGAAATTATGTTCCTAATGGACTTGATTGATCTTGATTGATGATCTTACCAATTGAATGTAAAGTTTAACGGCGATGGGTATTTATATGCCTAATGCTCTTGATTGATGATCTTTCCAATTGAATGTAAGTTCCATCAACATTTGATTGGGGATGGGAACTCATTACATTACAACGCCTGCCGGGAAGTATCGTCACAGGCTGCACAAACAATCCTTTATTGTGGAGGCACTTTCCTGCCCACCCCAGTATTCAAGTACAGGTCTAGAGTCTAGATAGAATCTGGACCATGAAGAAAATATCTTCGTATCGAGAATGACAGAAAGGTAACTGAACCCATGGAAATCAGTCACGCAATCGATTTCATATTTGCTGAGCAATGAATTCCATGGCCCCTCGCCCCTCAGCAAAATCTACTGTCGAGACTGCGCCTATGAAGAGAGTGTCCTCGAAAGCCAAGACTTCAACCCGCAGGACAGCAATATGACATGAATCTGACGAGTTAAACCGACTTAACAGTTGACCCAGAATCAAAATGAATCAAATGCCTGCAACCACATTGTGCAGAAGAAGAAGGTTTTCGATCCAGAAGCCGGCGTTGCTGATCCAGAAACGGGCATTACAGCCCGTTGATGTCGCCGGCACGAAACTCCCATTTAGGAAGCAAGAATAACACTTGAAATATCTTGAAAATTCTTGAAATATTCTGTCATAATCTTGCGGGGTAAGCGTTGGCTGCACCCTGTGCTTATGGTTCAGGATGGTTCAGGTATGTCAGGCTCAGCATGCCTCATCTGCAAGCCTTGGTCTGCACCCTATCAGCCCTTTGGGCCATTACATTGGCGCTGTTCCTCTCTGAATTCTGAAGAATTCTGAATCTACGAGAATCAAACTCTGAATCTACGTTACTACGTTTGAGTTTCGTTTACGTCATTTATATACGTTAAACGTCAGCGCCCCTTGTCAAATCGGTCCTTGAGGAGCACGATGAACTCCAAGGCAACCTGGGCGGTATCAGCGTCAGCAGAGAGTCTGCAGATTCCACTGCGATGCGTAGGATGCGATCCGATACAATTCGATGCGAATCAAACCGAATGAATATAACATAATTTGATATAATTTGTAACATCATAGAATTTAAATGAATTCAATACTGTAGAACGTGAAAGTTCACAAGGCTTCAACAGGGCAACCATGTAGCTGCCTGATGGTGCCTGCTGCCCGATGCTGCCTGATGCTGTCTGAGGCCGTCTCCTGCTTCTAGGGCCCTGACGCTGTTCAGGAGCAAGTCTCCGAAGTTGGGCGTGGCGCAAAGCCAACGGCAACCAAGCCAGAGCAAATAGACATCAATGATCCAGCGCGGAATCATGCCTCAGATTCAGTGTGCATCTGAAGAAATTCCTGTGCGCTCAACCTATCAAAATCATCTCAAGCTAAGACGCATGTCAATGCCAGCAAGGCCTTCACTTCTTTTGTTAGACCAACCACAATCCTTGGTGGCCAAAGCCAGTACAAGTGACATCATGTGACATCAATGTATCTCATTCTGGATCTCGAAAGCTGCACGCAGTACTGATGTTGATTCATAGTTGCTCAGGCAGACTCTGGCCCATTCAGTTAATTGAAATTTACTTCACATTCTTGCAGGATCTGTCTCATTCCTTGTTGTGACCACATCGAAGGTAACCATGTCATTACAGCAACAAGAGTGGTATCTGAGACACAAGTGGGTACATTGGCAAGCAACATCTGAGACTTTTGCATTCGTGCACCGAAGAAAACAAAGTGCTAGGACGCAAAACCAATTATATATTGAAGAGCAAATACCAGAAGGAACCTTTGGAAACATGGTATACGCGATAAGATCTGCTGTGCCAGAAACTCTCGAGCACCCTAAACTGTAAACAACCTTTTCCCTAAGGATCCAAGCGTGATATTGGCCTTCAGTCCTAGATTTCACTTTATGAGTTTCAGGTTTTTGAGTCTAGACAGTCTGAAGGCATAGTTCTGAACCAGTCCTTTCTCAGGGGATATGTCCTGACCCATGGTTATGAATCAAGGTCTGCCATGGTTTTCATAACTTGTCTAAGGTTTACAGTATTCATTTTATTCGGTTCATCCACTTTGTCTAAGCATATCGCCGCCAACTTTGAATCAGGTTGACACCGATGGATGGAAGGTGTCATATTCAGACAAGACTCTCACACTCCCCCTCGCCCTCCACAACTGCATCCTGCCAATTCGAGAGAATTGAGGACAAAAGGCAAAGAAGGCCATCAAAAGGCTTTACTCTTTTCAAACATGTTCAATCAAGCTAAACCAAATTATCCAAATTTGAACATACTTTGAACAAACGTCATCAAGAAATTTGCGAACTATTGGCTTTCACTGTTGCTTCCACTCGAAGTCAAAAAGCTGCAAAAGTTCAGAGAAAAACGAGAAGCAAAGATTATCCAACGATTTCAGATCCTTCATGCTAGTGATGCTGGGCGTTGACAAGATCAGGCGGACAAAGAGGTCTCCACATCGACGAAGGTCTGCGACGATGGTCAATGTCCTGAGCAATGTGACCAACTTGGTGAGCCAAATTCATGTCAGAATTTGTCAGATATGCGAATGCAAAATAAAGCAAGTAGTTTTGGCAGTTGTGGGCTTGGCCCTTGGCAATACTTATGGCCAATGTGGCACTAGTTCTTGGATGTTGGTGCCCAAGGAGCCAAATGAAAAGGATGGGGACCAAGATCTGCATCTGCGAGAAAGGAATGTTGCCTGACGGCGCTGCACAACTTGTGAAGTCCGCATGAGTCTTTGTAGAGTGATCAGGCTCGACGTGACGCGCAGTGCACAGTGTCGGTAGGGGGAGAGTCTTGGTTCAAGCGCTTACAGCAAGAAATGCATCCCAAGACTTCTTCGTGGCGGTTCAAACCTTGTATTCTTGTCAGGATCAGTACAAAATGGACGAACCATGAGCAACAGCTTTAGCTTGGTTGCCACCGGCGGTTCAATTTACAGTAGATGCCAGATCTGAAGAATTATGTTGCCCTGTCTGTTCAAGTTACTGACAAACCAACGGATGAAGATGGATCAAAATCAGGGTATGCTCAATGTGGTCCACGTGTCTGACATCTGAAAAGGATAGAACTTGATAGAACACATATTAAGATAAGAGTCCTCGTGCATACTCTCCAAACGGCAAGGAAAACAGATGGCAGCAACACCCTCCCTCCATGCTCTGAGAACACCAACACGCCAAATCCTTCTCCTCGTCGGTCAAACGGGCAAAGTTGGACCTTAAAGGGATGACAGGACGGAAAAGCGCTGCTGGAAGTCTTGCTGACGGCCATAGAGCATACAGTATCCTAGGTTATCCCAGGTCCCAGGATCATAAATATCATAAATGCTCCTTCTGACCATTTTCCGGGGCAGTGACCAAGTTTGGGGAAGTCTTCGGGACGCCTGCAACGCAAAAGCATCTTTAATGAGACCAAGCTTCATATCGAAGTATTGCTTGTCCAGCCCTCGCGGAAATCCGTTGGGCGTGAGGTAGTTGTGAGTCACGTCTGCGCCGTACATCACGAATTCGTACCTATTTTCCAAAATCTTTCCAAATCCTTTGAACTGAGACCATCTGAGACCAATCCTTCCACGCTTATGTGATAAATCTGAAGTGGCTTACTTGTTTTGCATGGCTCCTGAACTCATTCTGACATCAGCAATCTTCCTGTTATGTAAATGGACGCTTGATTGACTACAAGAGATGACTGAGTACACCCAAGTATAATCTGGGATATGATTCATTCAAAATTCATTCATCATTCACACGATCTTTGTGGTGCACATTTCTTTGATCTGCAGGTTCTCAAGGAGAGCAAAAGAGCTCATCAGAGCTCGCAGAGCATGCCCAACTTGCCCAACTTCAAAAAAGATGAAACACTACTAACTGTTACTAACTTCATTCAAGTTGTCCAAACTGTCCAAGAAAACTTCCACTTTCATTCCAATGAAAGTGGGCAACAAATGGCAACGACTGCCACAGAAACCAAGACCATTCGAGCCATGTCAAGGGGGCACCGTCCATAGATCTGTCGAATTTCAGTCACTGCACGGCTTGCAACCAGGGCCTGGCGTGAACAGAGCTCCGCAACTACAGCACGCATGTGCATGCATCTGCAACAGCATCTGCATCAGTTTGTCACGTGTCAGTGAAACCTATCTCGACACATTGCGTCACAAACAAATAGTGACATAGTGTCACACAACTTGTTATGCTTTGCTCGGCTCGGCTTTAAATATGTTCAAGATTATTCAAGCCCTTTGAAGCTTCTCGAGTATTCTCTACAATAAGCTTCTCCCGCCTGCATCTGGGATATGACAAAGATCTGCAAGAACACAACCTGAGTTGGCCACATCGAAGAGCACGAGCTTCGGAGATGGCAGGTTCTGTCAACAAATTCTCACATGCGACACCCAATCAAGGCCACTTGATCCCCCAA